AAAAAAAAAAAAAAAAAAAAAAAAAAAAAAAAAAAAAAATACATATACACACATACGACCGCAAAATAAAATTTGAAAATTTAGTTAAGCTTTCTTCATTTTTATTATAAAAATATGGTCAGTTTAAAAATGATGCAAATGTCGAGTGAGCGAGAGACGGAGAGAGAGATAGAGAGGGAAACTGAAAGAACTGAAAAAGAAAGAGCATTAACGTAAGAACATTAACTTGGCGCAATAGAAAAAAACAAGAAGCGAATTTTATTAAGAAAATAATGAAAAGCTCGGTCAATATTGCTCCCATACCGTACCATAATTCGACACACCCTTCCTCAGGCTCCATGGCCAAGAATGAAACCGTAAAAAAACAAATTGAAAAATCTCAATGGCATAGAATATGAAAAATCAACAGTAAAACGTCTATTTACTACAGATCCTAGACACAGACCAAGAGAGAAGAGAGCAAATCATTCTATTTCATATATATTTATATGTTTTTGATTTTCCCTTTTTGTACTTTTATAATATATGTATGTAAATATATAATCGAAGAATAGAAGCAGTATACTGCTGTTGTTATTGCATTCGTGACACGTTACGGAAAAAAAAATTTTCATTCCAAGATAAAATTGAGTAAACTGGTATATCGATATGTATACATATATTTGTAGATAAAATAACCAAGCCAACTAAACTGTATAAACAGAAAGTGAGAGTGACGGTAAGACAGAAAGGAAGAAAAATTGAATTTTAAATTTGAAAAGTCAAACCCATCAAGAGGCTAAAACCGTTGATAGGAACATTTAAAAATAAAATAATAGGTATCCAACTGCATACTGCTATTTATATAACCAAGTAAAAACACTATGTTGGGTCATGGCGTACCCTTGAACGCCATCCTACAATTATTCGAATAACAATTTTTCAAAAGAAGACATTATATGGCAAGCAATGGAAAAAGTGTTCCGGGTCTCGGGCATTTTGTTGTTGTGCCTTTTACCACGACGGTGTACCAAATCTCATCAAAATATCTCATATCATCATTCGGACTTTCATGTTGCAAATAACAATACAAGGTGGACAGACGGACAGACAATTTATTATTGCTATAATAAAAGATTGAGTCTATTTCAAGTGCTTCTGGCTGTTACATACATCCGCACAAATTTAATATAACCTTGTTTCATAAGTGGCATAGGGTATAAAAACGGATTTAATCGGTATCCGCAACTATAAATTGACACATCTATTTAAACCGAAAATAAACAATGATCCGAATCGTTTATCACTGTCTTGCGTGCGTCATTTGATTGCAAAATAAAGTGAAAACTTCTTAACTGGATGCAAAGATATCGCTTGTATATCGTAGCGTACGTATCGCATGTCACATTTATGTAGGACTTAACAACGCTTAGTTACTGTACGTAATTATGTAAATCGAGAAAAACCCGTATCTATACACATTTCGCTCCATTTATACATAAAAGTTTTTCCCACTTACGGAAAAATTCTTTTTTTTCTGTTTAGCTTTTAGGCAAATATTTTTCTATTACCTTATGTAAGAATTAATAGAAAATTGCGGTCATACTTGGCCTGCTCTTAGCAAAGGATTATCTGCATGCATCAAATTTTAGTTTTTGTAATTTCATTTTAGTTATTGTATCTATGCAACTGAGCGTCAACAGAATCTCTTACTGATCGAAATTTTTTTTTTTTCCCATCAATTCTATCAGAAAACACACTAAATCCATTTCACACTAAATGGATAAAAATTATTTCAACTTTACAAATTTAAATCGAAACGGGTTACGATTATCCGTCGTCAGGGTGATGATCGTTGCTTCCCATAACAAAATTTCTTACTTCTATTTGAACCATCTGATCTTCTCATTTATGGTGTCGAGGGAGGGGAGTGCAGTAGAAGAAAAATCGTTTCTCTAAAATATATATATACATATATATATATATGATATAGTTTTATGTAATTTATAATTTCAAACTTCTCTCTTAATGCGACCATGTACGCTGGTTTTTGAGTAAGAGCTATATTTTGAATCGTAAGGTATTCGATTTTAAATAATAAGTAATTGAACTTTGTTCGCAGCGCTTGCAGACATATAAAGCACAAATCTTTCATTCGTTTTGTAACACTACAAGATGACAATCTACAAATAAAAAAATAACTTAAGCAGCTTGAAAATATTTAGATTGAATTTAATCCAATTCCGCGCTATGCAAACAACTCATTATAGAATCAATTGAAATTTTGATTTAAATTTGGTGAACAAATTATATTCCATTGAGAGAGAGAGAAAGAGAGTGAGAGAGGGGGGGGCGACGAGTGCATGGCCATCGTTATTCTAACGCCTTTTGAGGGGGGTTCATTGCGGAATTTTTCGCACTTTTTTACAAAAAACAAAAAATAAGAAATTTGCTTACATCCGGAAGCGGAAGTATCGCAGAAAAAGTTTTTATTTAGTTAGCTAAAGCCAACTTCGAAATTTTCAAATTTTCAAGGTAATCATGATATTAAAAAAAAAAGAAAAGAAAAATAGAGAACCTTTTTAATTCATTTCTTCTTCTTCTTCTAACAATTTTAGAAGAATTGAAAAAAACTTGAGCAGCGGATTTAAAATAAACAATTCAGCTCTGTAGTATTGAATCCGATAACGGGTAATGAATTGATGGACGGACAAAGTTGAATTGAAAACAAAAATATTCTCATCAAAAATTTGGAGTTTTTTTCTTCTCCTTTCAACCTGCGACGATAGGTGCATTTCTTATTATTGTGTTTAAAAGTTAACATCGATAGTAGATAAGTTTCAGTGCTGAGTTTATTGAGAAGATACAAAAACAAAAAAAAACAAAAAAAATTTAAGATTCGTAAGGGATTGTATTTTGCAAAAGGTATTAAGCTGAACTTTGAATAACGACGATGGGTGCACGAAATTCGCCTCAAGGCGATTATAGGGGTTCTTTGCTTGTTTTCATTTCGTTTCATTTGAGAGGAAAAAAAAACATTCATTTATTTATTTATATGCATATATACATACACACATATTTATATCTATAGATATTTGTTATATATGTGTAGATATATTTGGTGAAAAACATATTTGTGTCTGACCCACAAAAAAGAAGAAGATAGTTTTAGTAGTTGATTTCGGTACGAACAGTTTGGACTGCCTAACTAACTAACGATTGAAAAAAAAAGAACGCAGGCTATTTTTATATAAATTGGATAAAAAAAAAAAAAATAAAAAAGAAAACTAAAAAAAATCACAAACATTTAATTTTTTGTTTTATCGAATAAAAAGAAAAAAAATAAATAAATAAACACTCCCCCGACAACTGATCGATATATAGTAGAAAGGTGAATAGAAACTTTTCCTCCAACAGGCTCGTCAGGATTGAATTATATGGATATGGTGTTCATCTCAAACTTTTCAGGATCGTTTCTAGTCCACGATCACAACATTTACATTTCCAAGAAAATTTTTGCTCTTACGGCTTTTTGTAGAAAATTTTCATTTCATTAAAATAAGATAAATTTCGTAAGTTCTGGTGACTTTTTAAAAACTTTTGGCTATATTTCAAAAAAAAAAGAAAAAAAAAAAAAAAAAAAAACATTTTATTTGTTTAAGTGAAATATATGTACAAGAAAATGAATGGAAAATAAATAAATTTATTAGTTACTGCACGGATCGTATTTATATTTATGTCTGCCATATGTAGATGTTCGCGTAATTTTCACATATAATAGTAGGCATACGCAAATGCTACGTTAAAAGACAAATAAAATATCATAATGTGTTTATTCGCATTTCAACACACAAATATGCCCGCACATACACACGTACGCACACAGTAACAAGTTAAATGATTTTAGTGTATGTATATCATGATTAAGAAATCGAAAAAGAAAACTCAAAGTGTATCGCTTATGTAACCTTTTTAATGTTGTGTATCACTTTACATCTGTAAGGAAAAGCTTCAATATATAAATTAAAGTTCCTATTATATTAAAAGTCCTTAATATAAATGCATTCTTTTTTTTTTTTTTTCACTTCTTCCCTTATTTACAGTATCATTGCCCGGAGCTGAACTTACGTCAATAGAGCAGCCGATTATTTTACAAGTACTTAAGAATAAAGTGAATTCGTTACGAGAAGAGGAACAAATTGAAGAGAAAATTCAAGGAGACAGTAGAGCGCGAAATAATTTTTCGATAGACATTAAAGAGCAACAATTGCCTAATAATGATCTACATACTAATAATTTAAGCGTTAATAATACTAATAATCTAGTCAGTAATAGTGTGAATAAGTCACAATTAGTTGATAGTCAAACCTACCGGCCACAAACAAGCAACACTAGCCTATCATCGTCTTCGTCAAATTCGCCATTACCTAGAAGAGCTTCCACGCCACCGACTATACAAAACGTGTTAGACATTGAGTCTCACTTAATTGAAACATTTGATGGATATCCTAACAATGAAGACGAAGGTGTCGGTATTAAAGAATTGACCCCAATCGATGATGAGCTACGATCTGGTACTTCAAAAATTGAGAGATCAAATAATGTGCGAACAATAATTGAGGTGCAACCAGCCGGTGTAGTTATTAAGAAACCTATAGAGAATATTCATTTAGAACCATCACAGTCCGCTTTAGTTATTGTTACCGCTTTAAATAAAGATAAATCAATTCAGAGCGAGGAAATTGAGGAGGCCGCTGAGATCTTAGTCGAAGATATCGCGAATGAGGCAATCGACAATTACCAGAGGACTCACATTTCAAATGAGATCGTTAATGAGATCGGCAAAGAAGAAGCAAATAACATACCAGACTTTTCCGCAAAAACTCATGAAGAACTCATTAGCCTAGAATATCCGCAAAATAAAACAAATTTGACCGAAGATTATGATATTAAACATTCACAAAAACAAAAGACTGAGACTCAAGTGATAAAAGTTGACAATTCTCTAAGTTCCGATCTTACCTATGTCGTCAATCAACAATTATCAGAAGTAACGAGTATTTTGGATTCTCAAAGCCGCTTAAAAAAGCCGGCTAAACAAAACGGTCACATATGCAATCAGCTAGAGTTAGACTGTAATGTGACCGATATTAAAGTAGTAAGTGTGCCTTCACCGAAAACCCGCTCAGAAGAGGAGGAACGAAAATTATTTATAGATTCGTTACCACAAATACAAACGGCACGGGACGCAGACGATATTGCTCAAAAGTTGGCCCTAGATTGCAAAAAAGAATATTATCAATCACTTAAAAAATATTTAATACAAAATAGTACGGAAAAACCGCCTGTGCCCTTACAGACCTATCGTTGGGAGGATCTACGCAGAGCCAAAGAAAGGGTAAGTCATTTTCATTCAGATACAAAATTTCAAATCGAACTTAATCAATATTTACGCAGGGTGGTTATCCTTGGACGCATTTATATAAACGGCCATTAGGACCTGATGAGGAGCCAGAAATATTGTTAATGCTAAGAAAATCACAAGAAATACGTTTCATCTCAGAATCACCTAAATCAATTAAAAAAGTACGAATTGACGAGCAAGTTACTGTTAAAGAAACAGAACGATATCTACAAGAACTATCTGAGGATGAGGAAGATGAACACCATTCCGAGCAACATCTATCGACACAATTGCCAGAGGATTTAGAAAATCACAGTCTACATAGCGAGAGTTTTTCCTGCATTTCTGATTCCGTTTTAGCGACTGGAAAACCGAAAAAATCGAATCGTTTTAGTAAAGTTCGGCGTTTATTTAGACGACGGCGTTACGGTCTTCGGCCAAACGAAGACGTTCAATCATTACCTGACACATTTTCGGAGACTAGTCGACAACATAGTCTCGAGCAGGTAACAGCAACGCAACCGACGCCACCGACTGGTACGGCATCAATTTATGAAGCTGTAAAGGCCAATCGTTGTTTCCCAATAATGAAGAAACTGAAAAATATGGCAGACCGTCAGAAAAAACGCCTTCATATAAAACGAATCGCTTTGGGTAAAGACGAAAAAATTGTACTTAATGAAGAAACAAAAATTTTGAAACTTAAAAACTCTCCGAAATCACAACGCAGTGACATACCACATTTTATTGAGAAGCAAGATTCAGATGATATTTTAGAAATTGTCGAGCTCGATGAGTCCCCTAGCCGCAAGCGTAAGGACGATGGACGAGACGACAATGAAATCGGTAATGGAGACCTTAACAATATTAAAACTCTAAGTAGTAGTAGTCTAGTGAAACCAGAAGAAATCATTGAAATAACAAATTTTATGGCAGAGAAGAATGAAACGACGATGTCTAGTGCGGCACCCCCTAAAAAGGCCCCTCGCTTACGTAGGGATCATGTTTATGAAGAAATCGATCACCCGGATTTTCCTGCACAAGAATTTAATCTTATTTTAGATGCCACCTCCGTTGAAGCTTTAAAATTATCACTGGTCACTCAGGACAACAGTGCTTTGAAAGAGGTATCTACTACTACAAACATTATACCACTCGATCGCATGGGCAGTAGTGAAGAAGATCAAATAATTTTAGCAGATCAGCAAGGGACCGACGGTGCGAAATCAAGCACTAATCTTTTGGCGCCAATATCGTCAATTGATTCCACCTCTTCCGACGAAGATCGAAACAAAAAACAATTGCAACCTGTTTTAGAAGAAGAAAGTGATCAACCAGAAGATGACCAGCACAGCTTACAGCAAATGCAGGTTGTAATCGACCAAACTATGGAGTTGAAACCTCCAGCTATTAGAAAGGAAGCTTCACCAGCGCCTTCCGAGAAAAAAGTGACATTTTCCTATGTCGAAGATGAGGCAGAGCCGCACCGTGAAGATATCGAATTATCACCTGAACATATAGAAGCTACCAAAGAAGCTAACAAACGTAAAGCCGCTGCCGCCGCCGCCGCCATTAAGTAAGTATAATATATTCCATGCTTTTTTAACACATAAAAGATCACTCAAAAACCATAAAAACACTCTAATCTACTTACTGTCAATCAATGGCGACACTTGGAACAACATTTTAGAATATACACATACATCAAGGCGCGATTGAAATTGTTACTAACACTGCATCAGAATCGGCTTGAGCGACGAAAACTAATCCGTGATACATTCCATGAGCTTTTTACATCTAAACTTATTGTGTAGATATTGTAACACTTCCCCAGCTAATAGGTTCTCATCCGATATTGCGATTATTATGAGAAATCTCTAAATCCCCGAATGAGGTAAGAATTCGAATTGCTTTAAATTTTGGTCAGACAGTTAGGATGATTTGCATGTTCCGCGATAATTTATGGGGGGGGGTGGGGGTAAAAACTATACAACCAACAAATTTTCTACATAGCACATATTAGTAACAGCAGTTTATTAACTTTGCATTATATACGGGCACCAAGTGTTGCGAATAGATGCCCGCCTCATTGGTTGTTTAATTCATTGCGACGCAAATGCACACACAGTCACAAATGCATGGGACGTTTGGCATAAATACCGATTTACAGCCAAGGTAGCTAAACGTAAACTTGACTGTGTATGTGGACTTCTAAATACAGTTATTTGCATACGATGTCGCTGTCAGATCCATCTGAGCATTCATATATTAAACGAGAAACGACACCGACAACGAATAAACGCGCGGCGACGGAAAATTCATTTTGCTAAATATATAATATCAAAAACACTATAAGTGGCATAGAAAACCTTTCGTTTTCAGTCCTGGCTGAAATCTTTACCAGTTAAGACAGAAAGGAAATGCTGTCTGCAAGCTTCGTAAAACTTTAATGCCTTTCTGTCATAAAGTTATTGATTATTCAAGGAATTTAATCCGGAATTTAAAAAAAGATCCGTTTACAGATTTGTGAAAAAAGCTAATGTACTCATGCGTGTACATATGTGCATACTCGTGTACGTAAAATAGTTCGCATCCCATTCAACAGTTGAATATGTTAAGTAATAGAGATTTTCGTGAAGAAGGAAATAATAATTAATAAAAATAAATCTAATGTTCACCCTCGGAGCAGAGCAAATGATAAAAATAGCCTCAAAAGAGACATACATATAAATGTGAACGGGTATGCGTTCGACAAGCAAAGAAAGTCAACATCGAAATTGCAAATAATAAACACTAGCACACACGTGCAGCGTAGCAGTGTAGCATTTGCTTTGGGTTTGCTAAACATCACATATACATATATTTTCTGAACTCTTTTATGGATGGCCCCAGACTTTTGAGAGTTTACGACGTTATTGCATTATGAGTGCCAGAAGATCGGCGTCCGTGGGCGCTTTGCCACTTGAGAAGAAACATTTCGTGTCACGCAATGAGAGTGCCAGTGGTGTATCACTTGATGTACGATGTGCTTGCCAGTATTTTCAAAGCGACTCCTTACTTCCGGAACGCATTAATCCAATTGATTCGCGACCATCATCTAAATTAGAATTCCGTCATGAGCCAGGCTGTCTAGAGATTATCGATCAAAATGTTGGCCAAAGTCAATTTTCATCATCTCAATTACAACCGGCACTAACCGAACGTAATATTTTGAGATCGGGTCTTATGGCCGGTGATCGAATTACACAACCTGAACCAGATCGTTTATCTATACGTAGTATAGGAAAACATAGATCATGGGATCAAACTTCTGTAGACATATCATTTTTGGATAAACATCCTGAATTGGAAGAAACTGTGAGATCTAGAGGTCTAGTGGTACGCAGCATATCCGACGCTGATGAACCTCAAATGCATGGAATGCGTAGGCAACGCTTTACGTCATTGGATAGAATGTCTAATGCAAGCGGTGGTTATGGCCGCGACCCAGAAACAATTTCGGTACATAGTGGTATATCCATAAGACGTATTTCACGTTCACCTTCCAAAGCAGACTTGTTCGTAGCTGACTTAAATATCGGCTCCCCAACAAGGTTACCGACAGAGCAACGATCTGTAAGCGCCAGTCGAAGATCTTCAAACATAGACATATTCCATATGTCTCCGCAAATAAATCTTGCTCAAGCTATTCCTCCGGATAAGTTGGCAGATATTTCGAGAAGCCGGAGTCAAATACGTTCTCCTTCAATATCACCGCATAGTGATTACCGTATTGCAAAACGGCCAATGTCACCAGATTATATGCGTCCTGATGAAAACAAAGAGAATATGTTGGTAAACTATTCGCCTCCTCGTTCAACTATTCCACCACAAAACCGTCCAATTGATATTTCTCAATACGAGGCTGAGCCGATTTTATCTGACCAAACTGGCGATTTACCCCAAAAATTAATTAGTCAACCCGTTGATCCTCCATTGCAAACTTTTAATGAATTCGAATCAATCGACTGGCCACATAAGGTAATGAGCGTTGAAGACGTCATTACAATAGAAAAACAAATTCCTTCTTTAGAGACTGAAACATCGAAAACTCCTCTTAATGTTAACGAAGATACGAAAATTGATATTGTAACCTCTATATCACAAGTAAACTTTGAAGAACTCTTACAAGAGGATGTAGAAATAACTCCAAATTATGTGAAATCACCTGAAAGTGAAATGAAAATCAATACCTTACAGTTACCCGAGCAGAGTACCACAACGTCTAATAACGCTCAAAACGGAACTAATCTTAAAAGAGCGCATTCCCCGGAACGTAAGGGTTCTACAGCAGCCTTTAATAAAAAAGCAGCACAAGATGCAATGACCCATCAAGAAACGACGTCAAACTGTGAGGATATTGTCAATGACGCTGAAAATGGGAATTCAAAACCCTCTTATGCATCCAGATTTATGTCCATGTTTTCCTCAAAAGCTTCGGATACTGAAAAACAACAGGAGGCTCCAATTGCAATCAAACGCGAAAGATCACCATCTAGAATGACAACAGTTTTCTCTAAAGATCAACCTACACATTTACAAGTCCTAACTGGTTCAACGGCTATAATTAAGAACAAACCTGAGAAGGAAGCAATGGCCGTTAAGGTGGTTGAAACCTTCTCGTTAAAAGTTGATGAAATGGATCAGTACATGATAAAGCCGAAGAAATCTATTCAACCTTCACAATCAGCATCGCCAGCACAACCGCATCAAACTCCTTCAATGCCTAGATCGTTTTGTAGTAAAGAAGATCTGGATGTTGAGCTATCATCAACCGATGTCAAAGAAGCATTTACACCTATTGTGATACCCCGAAATAGTGAAAGTTCGACTTTCTTAGCTGGAAACAGGTCAATGTATGCAAGTGAGGTGGAAATATCAAATCGCGGCAGTGAGTTTGAGTTTCGAAGTTCAAGCAAAGAACCTCCTATACATGCTCATTCCGAGACGGGAGGAAAACCATTGTTTTCCGCTCCTATCTTGGTTGGAAGTCACGACAGCTTTACGCAGAGGTCTTCTCCCGATAGATTCAGGCCTACTCGCTCTCTACGTTCCCCGTCTGAACAGCGTGCAAGAGTTCCTACAGGTAAATTTCTCCAAGGTCGTACACAGTCTCAGGACAGAGCGCGCCTAAATGGGTCAACCGACAACTTACCAGAAACACGTATGACAAAAACCGTCAGTTTCAATTTTGAGGATAGAAAGTCACGCTTGTCTGAGTTTGAAAATTTAAATATGGCGCAATCGCAAACAGAAAAGGATTATCTTGAAGGAACTTATCTTTCGCGGTAAGAAGTTTCGATCGCCATCAACAATCATACACAACATAAATTTTTGCTTGAACATGTTTACTAATTTCTCTAGCTGTTTTAGTTCTGAAAGTAATTGTTTTTATTTTCATTTACAGCGATCACGAGTATGAACCCATAGGTGAGCCGTCTAAAGAGGAGGATACTTTCGATAAAACCATCCATGCACAAGCGTCTGGCGAGCAAACTCAACAAACAACGATGGAAGCGATGAAACAGGCCGAAGATGTTCAAAAGGAAATGGAAGAACACTTTTTTAAGACTGCAGCGCCAACACCTGATATGGAAATTGAAGTCGATACTTCTGAAGTAGGAGACCATGTTCTTGACAAACCTTCGAAACTAGAGAAGAAAAGCTTTATAGCGTCAGCGCAAGATCGTACCCGAAAAATGCAAGCAGGGCTTAGAAATCAAGCAGGTAAGCTTCGAACTAAACTACGCCCAACAGTGAAGAAAGCACCCTCCGGGAGTCCCAAAGCAAAGGATCGTAAGCGATTTAAGGCTCCCGAATTTTCCAAAATGAAAATGCCGGATATCAAACGACCAGACATTTCAAGGTTTAAAGACTTCAAGCGCCCAGAATTTACAAAGTTCAGCAAGCCGGATATGAGCAAGTTTAAATTGCCGGAGAAAATATCCACTATGAAATTAAAGAGAAGCAAATCCTTGAAGGAAAATGAAAGTGAAGGTGCTTTGCAAGAAGAAAACATGGTTGATGAAAATCGGGAAGTAGTTCACAAAAATGAACCTATAGCACATCAAAAAAAACTTTTTAACTTTTCTAACTTTGGTACATATCCGAGAGCTTTACGAAAAAAGAAAAAGCCAACTGAAATTGAATCATCAGTGGGTACTGCAACTGCAACTGAAGCGACCAGTGTGGTACCGAGCACTGAAACGCAGCCATCGATTGAATCATCTAGTTCACCCCAAGGCGACAGAGGCCCGGGACCTGTTCGATCACGTTGGGCGGACAAATTTTCTGATGTCAGCTACAACGACAGCGAAGGTTCACGTTACAGGCGCTATGGTAGCGAGTTGGAGAGCTTTGATCGAGAGTCCTCCCTCGAACGTCGTCGAGATGAAAATGAAGACACGGGCAGTGAAGAACCAACTCTTGGCATTCTAGGTGGTGTTACCGATAATAAGCAATTCGCTGACTTTGACGAAGAGAATCGCGCTATTCATGAAATTTCTAATCTGCGTTCGGGAGAATTTAAACGACGTCCAATTGTTCATCAAGATTCCGATTTGAGATCAGACGACAGTAAAGAGGCCATTGGTTGGACAGACAAAGACATCGAAAAAAATACATTATTACGCAAAGCAGAAATAGAAGCCGAAGCTAGTTTCCTCAAATACCAACCAGAAGATGCTGTTACACAAGAAACACAATCAACTGCTAGTTCCGGTAAAAAGCTCGTTCTAGAAGAGATCGACGAAAACGAATTCTTTTTGCGTAAACGTGGCGTTTCGGAGGATAACAATGAAATACGTCAGTACATTAGCAACGCCATCCGAGAAGGTTACGACATGCCGGTCAATTCATTGGAGCGCGTGGGGGAGCCTTCTAGCTACGGAGACTATGAAGTTCCACCTCCAAAGCCACGTAGACTTCATCAAAGTTATGCACCAGAAAACGTATCACAAGCTTTCCATACTCCACGCGATGATTACGGGGATAATATGTCATTGTCTCAGAATGGTAGCGATTTTTTCGTAGCACCGAAACCACCAACGCGCAAATTTAAAGGACGTAGTAAGTACTCCTTGGAAAGCCAAGAGGCTTTCATTGATGATGAACAAAGCAACCAATTGCCATATTTTGATAATGATGAAGAATACTTACGACCTCCTTCTCTGTCATATAAGGAACGCGATGAAATATTGAACGATCTCAACATGTCCGAAAAAGAAAATATTCCACTGACTGTGCCAATGGGCGATGAAGTTGACAGCTCAGTTAAGCCGCAGCCTCCGAAACGCCAAAAACGACGTCGAGAAATATCATTAGAAAAAGATTCATACATAAATGGTTTCAGCGGACGCTCGGTGTCAAACAGTTTTTTGCAGCAGCCTGAAGATGTAGATATTATGGAAAAGTTGCCAGGACAATTAACTCAATTTATATTTTAATTCTAGGTAATTGTTTATCGCACTGAACACGAGTACCACCATATTCCGCTTGCAACACCAGAGAAGTACTTCGATTCTGTTTCAACAATACGTAAATCCATTTCAAATTATTCAAATTATGACGATCGAACTTCCCGGGGAGCAATTTCGTTGGAACAAACCCAATACACACCTAATGAACGGGATAGATATTTGATTGACATGAATGAAAACGATGGGTAAAATCAAGCCAACTCATTGAAGCCTTTTATTCACAACATTTTCAATATTTTTATGTAGCTACGCAGTGGTACGAAAGGATCAAGTGCCTAAGCCTACGCCGCCAACTAGAAGAAAGAAGTTCGCTCGCCTGCCAGGGGAACGATTTGCTACGATGCCAAATATGCGCACGAAAAGAAGCACATCCCCGCCGCAAAGACCGCCACCGCCTAAAGCATACACCCCTGCTACCAACTTCCAAACAGTAACTGTTCGTAAATCAGCGCACAGCCTTGACGCTCAACCAAAGTAAGAAATGCGCCCAGAGTTTCTTTACATGCTCATGTTACACATATTGATAAGCTAATGCTGTCCTTGTTTCGTTATTGTTGTTGTTATTGGATATATTTCTTATATATTTTTTAGTTGTCGCTTACATGACATTCTTTACATTATGCATTTAACATAAATTTACACAGCAATCTGTCAGACGGTCATTCAATCAGATTCTACATCCGATTTCGTAAAGTCTGCACGTCTTTAACTGTCTTTTATAAGCGTATTATTACATTATATAATCACACTGACTTTACTGCGTTGAACTTTACGAAATCAATTTGTAGTTTCACACGTGTATGGCTGTATAGACTCCCTTTTTGTTTCTTATATAATACACAATAAATACATATGCATACACAAATTTGCATTACCGCTTTATTTGATTCGTTGAATTTGTTTTGCTTTTGTTGGGTTAAATTAAATAATTAAACAGACCGATAATAAATGTAATCGCTTCTATTACGGCTTGATTCTTCTTTGCTAGCTACGAAGATGACTACGAAGAACCTGGAGAGTCTATCCGCCCTGATTCACCACGAAATTTGCATTCAGGCGAAGTAATTAATAAGATGAAGTACCGTCCGTTACCGCCGCCTCCACGACCACCTAGGGAAAAACGACAAAGATCGGAGACCAGAGAGTCAGAGTTAGTTACCGATTATCAAATGAACGGCGAGGAGCAATTCGAAACCAGTGGTCAAGAATCAAGAGATGACGAAATTATTCAATATACCGAAGAAGTAGAGGCATCAACGCAAACCGATCCATTGCCAGATGATTTCGTATGTGAAGAATTTGAAATCACAGACGACATGAAAATCATTGAACCTCGCATTCGTACGAAAACTTTAGAAGAAGTATTGCGAGATGAGATTGGTGATGAACCTGAAGTGCAACATCAAGTAATTGATAGCGAACAATTATCAAAAGGGTTGCAGCGTTTCAGAGACGCGAACCAACGAAGTCTATCAGAGCGTTCAAGAGCTTCTTCAGTGGCAGACAGGTCAAAGTCGCATAGTCGACCGCAAACTCCATCAGCTATTGTCGTTGAACGTCAATTGTCTACACCCGTGCAACAAGAGGATAACGAAACAATGGTGCAAGCTTCATTAGTTGTCCGACCTGTAGATGATTTGGAGTTAGAGGAAGAACAATTGCGACAAGATGGTTTATTAACCGACAGTTCACAACGCAGTGTTTCTGAAACCAAGGATGATTTGCATTTGACGGTAAGTGAAGCTTCGTATGCTCCAAGTTCCGCGGAATTAGATGATGTTTTGGGAATTCAAGCGTCAGATCAGGAGACGCAACAAACAGATGAAGAAGTTGAACGCACTTTACAAAGATATCGCGACGAATTGGATGAAATAGGCCGACAATTAATGGAAACTGCAATGGCTCACGAACTGTCACCTACACCTTTCAGAGAGCAAATAAAGGAAATTAGTGATACTGATGAAATACCTTCTGTTGAAGATACGCACCTAACGACCATTAAAGAAACATGGGAACTAAGTGATTCAGAGCCCTTACGCTCCGACGAGGAGTCCAAAATGGACAGCAAAGGGGACCTCAGGTCTACGACAACCTTGAGTGAACTGAAGCCAGTGGAAAGTTCAGGTGACGAAATCACATTAGCAGAAATGGCTCCTCAACCACCACCCCGACGAAAGTCAAATGTAACTGAGCAACTATCGCTTGAAGAAACAACTGCTCTTCAACGCATAGATAACCTGGAATTGTCCACGTCGCAGTCTTTAATCAATAGAGAAAAAGAATCTATGCTCGATCTACCGTGTAGAGTGAAAGATTTAGAAGTCGAGCGCTTAAGAGTTAATGCTCTGCAAGCAGGCCAAATAATGGTTTCTCAACTACACGGCACCCAAATTACCTCAGAGGAACTAGAATGCAAATCGGGAAATTTGATTGTTAAGAATATAGAATTACCGCCCGGTTTTATTGAAGATATTGTTGAACGAGTGCGTAAAACTGAGCAAAGTCAATTGCATTCTGCCGAAGCAAAAGCAAATTTAGAAGGCAGCTACGAAAAATCATCCAGCCCATTACGCGAAACTCTTCCACCACCCAAACCACCGCGTCTAAGAGATTTTGAAATTAGTACTGTTAGTAAAAGTACTGAAATAACAAAGGAAATTAAAGAGAGTATTCAAAATGCTGATGAAGGCACTCAAACCGAACCATTAATTGAGCCCTCAGCTTTGCAACAAACAGCAGTGCCACCCATTTTTCCTTCCGCTGAATATTTGCACTCTTTGGCACCACTGGCTTTCTACAATCTCCATCGGCCTGGAAGCAGTCCAGGTGTGGCAGAATCATTTGAAATGCCTAGGCCACATTATCACCGTGATCGCCATCGTTATCAGCATAGACGATCAGTTTCGGAATCCGAAGTTGAAGAAGATCTTATTGCTGAAAAAGACGAGAACGAGTTACCTCAACAAAAGCCAAGACGACGTACGCGTAGCGCACACGATTTTTCAGATGATCATGATGATGAAAGTGTTGCAAAAGCCGGCCGTAAATTTATAGCCCTTTGCAGTCTTTCGCTTGCCAAAATCATTAATCAATTAACCGATTACCTTAGAAATTCGGCGGCAAATGAGGAGGGACAACTTGAACAACAACAACAACAACAACCCACCGACGCCAGAAATAAACAAGTGCCAGCCCTGGTTGTCCTATTCATAGTTATAACATTTGCCATAATAATATTTTTAGTTACTGGCCGTAATATACACACACATCACTGGGACTATTTTAATCCACCAGGACACGAAGGAAGACAATCATAAATTATTTAAGAAGCATAGGTATGACTCGGAATTAACTTGGGGAACAAATTGAGCGGTCTACAAATTGAAAACACAAAAATTACTTTATTCATAATTGCATTTGCGCTCGAAACCTCAAATTAACATACACAACTACAATACGAGTACACAGTGGCCTTTCAACGAATAAATCACGAATTTTTATTGATTATATATTACGAGTTAACATTTTACTCTAGATGCACTTATTAAGTAAATGGAAGAATGATAATAAGAAGAAAAGAGGCATCAAAATTAAATACTTTTTTTCTATGAGATAATTAAAGATTGTCTCCTGCCTTCCTATATCAACTATATAAGTGCATGCATACTTATTAACACATATCTCTACGTCTGCCGCCGTTACAAAACAATACGTTTAGTAATTAAGGATAGAAATTTAATGATTGAGATACGTACGTACATACATATTCAGAATAATTTGAGAATTTTTATTTAATTTCTTTCGTTTTTTCTACGTAACGTAACTTTTGCGTTTTGTTACTTCTTTTTCGTTCCGGATATAAATGGTTCATGTTATTTGTTACCTAATCAAACCATAAAAAAAGCTCCTTTTAGTTATTCAATATTAGTATTCCGTTTTTTATTGCAGAGTGTTAAGGACAATATCAAGCACACACATACAAGTCATTTTTAATAAATTTAAAATTTAGAAAAAAACAAAACAAAAATGCAATTTTATATATTAATAATAACAGATAGAGTGAAGGAAGGACGGAATGTTCCTTCAATGTTCCAATGTTCCAAGCAAACAATTTCGCTTAACTGCACATATAACCGAATGAATGCTCTTAAGATTACGATTTGTACATTTTTAATTCGTGTTGTTCTGCGTTGAATTCTGAATTACGAAAACCGCTCTTATCCAGCAATGACTCAATTCAACTCAAGTTCTCCGCATTTCTAGACTAAACTAGTTTACGGATATCATACCGCTAAAAGGACACACAACAGCTGCAATAAATTGCAACTAAATCATCCATCCGTGCCCAGTAAATATCTTTTTAAATATTTTTTTTTTCGTTTTCTGCTTAATATTATCGATTGCAGAAATTGCAATTGTAATAATGTACGATAAATAATAACTATATTTAAGTTGGGAGGACGGTGAAAATTTTCAAGAAAATCATTATGTTGTTTTTGGTTAATATATACTTTTTTCCAGCTTTCACCCAAGCGGTACAAAAAAGCGCGGACGGGTACAATAAATTATGCTAGACGTTGTTTTCTCACTTCTTTGATGCACTAACGGGTGTCTTTCGAAAATTTTCATTGAAAGAAAGAATATTTGAACTTTCAGTCTTTCAGTTTTGCTGTATGGGTATTGGAAACAAATGACAAAAACTAATTAAAAAACAAAAAATCTTATTATAAAAAATCTTCCGTCTCTTGAAGTTTTTTCTCAATTTGATAAGGATGGAAAGCGATTTCGTGATATAATTTTTTTAACTTTGACTGTTTCTATGACCAAAAAATTGGTTCCATCAAACACTATATTAAAGCAAACAACAACCATATAATTAACAAAAGCGGAAGTTATTGACCAGACCAGAGTTTAACCATCAATAGCCGGCCGATTTCTAATTTAATATTGTTCATAATTATGTTATGGTATTTGTATTGTTCATTTTCATACCCATCAGGAGGGAAGTTATACTCATTTTGTCATAATGTCTGCAACACCAAAAATGAAGCTTCCGAGACCCTAGAACGTATATATACTCTTGACCAACATAAAATTCTTTATCGAATTACCCCTGTCTGTCCGTCTGTCAAATTTCAGTTTTGGGAAAAGCATTGGAAGTTCTTGTACGCAGGTTGGTATTGAAAATGGGCCAAATCGTTCGAAAGGCACGCCCCCAGCACCGCGTAATCCGAGAACACCTCTGTTTTTCAAAAGGAATAAAAAATTAGAGTTGTGTTTATTACTCATAAGCTACAGCAGATAAATCTACAAACACTTGAACGTATATTCTTTAAGCGATGCTATACAAAAATAGAAAAATCCCGGGCATAGGGTATCAGAATTTCATATTTTTCTCAACACCTTTATATCGCACAGGAGCGCATTGCAAAAACACCGTAAAGTATATAAATTCTTGGCCGGTTCCAAATTGGGAATACACGATCTGTCCGTCTCAGCAATAGTATCTCCCATTCGCAAAAATGGAGATATCGCTGTTTTTAATAAAAACTGTAAACATTTTTGCTTTCCGTGTCGTTTGTTTATTACTCATAAAGCTCAACACATACACCATACAAGCTTTCACTTTTATTTTGAAAATAGAAAACATCAGTTGCGCCCAAACCACTTTTCTTTTTATGCTTACGGTGATGGGTGTAAAAGATTCGTTCACTACCGAATATAATTTTCTTACTTGTTGCCGTTATGAGGGTTTTGACAGCAGTTAATTTTGATACATTGCACTATTGAGTGGGTGTGGCCGTTTGTTCCCATTTTTACATAGGACTGCACATAGAATATGCGTGGAAGTTCTTTTGTTCTATTTATGATAGTTTAGAAGTAATAAGAAAAAAAAACAATTTTTATTTTGCTTTTGAAAACTGAGGTGTTCTCAGCTACACGGTGTTGTAGACGTATCTTTTGAGTGATTTAATCTATTTTCAATGCCAACTTACGTGCAAGTACGTTCAACGTTACTGCCAAAATTTTCGATCAGAAAAACGTTTACCAGGGGCGAACGTGCTTACATCGATTTAGAATATGATGTTTATTAAAAATATATATAATACTGCTTACTATCTGATGTTCCCTTCTGGATGTTTCAAACTTTTCACATAATTAATATACCTCTTTCCGGGCGGATTTAAAAATTTAACTGCACCAATTCTACGGGCCGTAGTCTTCATTCGTCTTGTTCTCCACAAATTATTAAAACCGACTGAAAACAGTCTTAAGCAGGTAGGTAACAATTTCAGATAAGTCCAAATATATGGATCTTTTCGACATTTTTATTTGATAAGCCCATTCAAGTGAGTAACAGTAGTTTTTCTAGCTCTTCTAACCTCTTTGAACTTAACTCTCTCAATGAATGGGGTTGTTTTAATAAAAAGCAAATGTCTCTTTAATTCAAAAAATTTATTCTTTTTCCCTACAACATTTGAAAATTTCTTTATTTTTACTTTTCTCTTCCTTATGAGAAAAGGAAAACTTCCTTTTCCTGCATATAACAACTGAAGTATTGCAAATTTTTATTAACCCGCACATGTAAGGCATATCTCTTTGGCCGAATCCATGCCTGCTTCATATCAAAAAAAAAAACTTAATTTGAACAATGTAAAATTATGTCCTAAGTTATACTTATATATTAGTTTATGTGAAGTTCACGATCTTCATATCAATTCATGTCAATTAACAAAAGAGGTCTTCGTCATATTGTACCATCTCGCGTCGATCTTTGTGGCTACCTTTTTGAGATTTACTAGCAGCTGCAAGAAAAAGAACCATACAAACACATTTTTTTTTTTTTTTTAGTAGAGTATGCTTGGACGCATTTACCTATCGAGGACCAAACTGCTGAAGATGAGGCATCATTGATAGGTTCTATTTGTGGTTGACGACGAGCCAGTTGCACTTGTAAATTTATGCCGTTTACATTCTTGCTATGCATTTCAGCAATAGCTCGATCGGCTGACTCAGGTTTAGCGAACGTTACAAAACCACGTCTAAGAATAATATATATTTAAACATTAATAGTACGAAAAACTTTTCACTTGGTCTTAATATGTACCCCTTTTCAATTTCCATAGATACATTGACGATGGTGCCGAAATCATTAAAAGTCTTCTTGAGAAAGTCTTCACTAACTTTGTTACCCGATACAAAAATTGTGTTACCAGCTCTGGGCTTATCCGATTGACTAGGATCCAGAGATCCTTTATCGTTAAGCCCTCTTTCCTCGCGATCACGTTCAGTGGCAAAGTGTTGATATAAGTTCTGCACACGGGGCTCTTCTTTGATAATCTCACTAATAATAGTTTCCTGGGCTACATCATTTTGCGTGGAAGAAAATGGCTGATAAGCAGCCACTGTCGATTCCGGTACAGGACGTTTCCGTTCCTGACCTTTAGGTCTTTTGAAAGATGTCTGATCTTGTTTTGTTTGCTGCTTTTGTATAGCCGGTATAGCACCACTTTTAATCAATTTACGTGCAACTTCCCGAGCATCACGAGCATCTGTTGGCCTCTTAAGTGTCGGCTTCTCGGGCTCTTGTTTTGGTGCTTTCATCAACTGTAACGCCTTCTTCTATAAGATTAAGTACATGCTTTTTAGACTAGAAGTTATATACAAAACTTTAAATTTTACCTTTTTCTTCAATTTTTGATATTTGGCTTGCAGCATATGCTCTTCCTCAGTTAGATTAGACGGAAAATGTATATAAACCATTATTATTATTTTTTTTTTTTTCAAATTGCTTTTTATTTTCGAGATAAATAAGATATGTGGCACGTAATAATTATGTGAAATTCATTGATTTTTTTTTCTTTTTAAAGTAAGTGTAGATTTAGGCCAATGACACTTTTTTCGTTTTGGGATACTGTCCTTTTTTTATACTGATTATATTTCATACGATTTGACAACTTAAAATTTACATATGTAGTTGTATGCCATTCGAAAGCTGCAATACCAATATTGCCAAGCGTGTAAAATTTGAAAATAATTTGATTGCGAAGAAAAGAAGAAGAATAGAGTTTGATCTTTGCTCGGCTATTGGGCTTTGAAATTTGAAGTTGAGTGAATTGAAAGCAACGAATGCGCCACATATGGAACTTTTCGAGAATGTCATGCTTAAAAAATTGCTCAATTTTTCCTTTGGCCTATGCCAGTTTGGCGTTTATGTAAACAAACAGGGAAAAGCACGTAAATCATATTTTTTCAAAACATTTTCTATTATAACGTAGCGAGTCATCTGCTGTTGACTTCATGGCCTCTTAAGAAGAAGAGAAAAAGATACTTTCCAAAACAAAAAAAAATAAAAGACGTTTCATTTTAACATATATGATTTTAGATATACTATTTCTACGCTGCATTATTCTAAACTTTTTGCATATTACATGGTTTTAAACTTTGTCAATAACATTATACAATATTTTTATATTTTCTTTTTTTTTTTTTGTTTCTGAAACTTGCGTTTGTTGATTACATTTATTTTGATTTTCTTGTGTTTACTTCTTAAACCATATATTAGTTGCTTAAATGCACATTGATTTCCTTATTTTTGAATCTAAAACGAAGTCGAAAGCGCAGCGTGCGAGACTTCCTACGTCTTTCATTTGCAACCTGATGAGCAAGCCAGAAGAGTAAAGATCGCGTATGGCCGCATTTTTATTAAATCCCTGTGCCTATACTCTACCTAAAATTTGATTAAAACGTTGCAGAATAAAATATTTTGTTCTGACTTTTTCTAACCCTTATATAGTATCGCGTTATTTAGACTCGAATATACATAAAATATTAATAATAATTATATTATTTTATTCTTTTTTATACAGTTGTCGTTAATATATGTGTCGAATTTTTCGTTTTTTATTCTCCAAGCATATGTTTTTGATTACATTTATATCGTTTTGTTACTTTTCTTCCTTCTCTTATCAAATAACACTGGCCGATTTTTAATTTTAGATCCATAATGACATTTTTTTTTCTTTAATGGCCATTTAAGCAGGATTACACGAATATAAGTCGTTCCGTTCAAAATCTTACGCAAACCAATACTATATATAAAGTATTGAATCTCTGAGGCCTTTTTCTGAATGTTGCAAACGGAACGAAAAATTTACCACGCTGCCGCAGTTACAATAAGAACACAAAATGTTGGGTAACCCTATAACGATACACAAAAACCTGTAAAAATGCTGCGCTATATTTTCTATCTATTTTGGCTTTTACTACCTTCGCAAGGAAAAGTGACAGCAATTAAATATAATTGTGTTTAGGTAAATGATCTGCAATAATAATCACGTGTAGTAGACTTGAATAAATAAAAATAATTGTAGTGTAAAAAAAAAAAAAAAAATGAAAAAAAAAATTAATAAAAGCACACAAAAAAATAAAAACAAAAACTTCCGGCATGGCTCCGGTAAGGAATTGAAAAAGCCGCACAATAAGAATGCAGCTGCTGTTAAACAATCCAACAGGTCACCATTAGTCTAAATTGGGTTTTTCAATAAAAATATTTCAAGTTTTATTTTAGACAGAATTTTGATTTGAAAATCAATTTGAAAGAAAACGAAGTCGGCATAACAGAATATGTAAGCCCGGGCGAAGGTTTCCAGGGTATTCTTAAATCTAGATATTCGGACTTTCATGTAAATGAAATCGATTTAAATGGCCAGGTACTACAGTTGAATGACTCGACGGTGCCGCAGCAAAAAAAACATGATGGTACGAACCCAATTCAATTGAAAATGGAATATATCTTTATTTTTTAATTCTCTTACTCTTCTCTTTAAGAATTGAATCCGGAAGATTTGGATGCTGCACGATCAAGGGTGAAAGATGTTATTACGGATGAAATATGGGTTAAAATTAAGCATTTATTTGAAAAGTCTTCGACAGGTGGTAAAGATGGCGATTGCGAAATCTTTATTGATGCTACCGACTTTAATAAAGATACACGCACCGATGTTCACCAAATTATTAAAAAATTGTATGGATCTAAATTAATAAGCACGACAGTCGCTGGAGAGCGAGAGGGAAGAGACCCATCAAAGAAATTCATAAAAATTGCGGAATCTAAAAGTGGTGGAGGTAAGGGCAATGAGCCACATTACACGGAAATAAGTATGTCTTCAAATTTCATTAAAGAACGTAACAATTGGTCTTTCCCTGGTGATTATGTTCACTTTTTGGTGTACAAAGAGAATATGGATACTAGCGAGGTAGCTACCGGCCTGGCAAATCGTTTGAAGTGCGTAATTAATGGCATTTTTATACATAATTATCAATAAAAATGGTTTAAATTTCAGTTTAAAACCGTCACAAGTTAATTATTCCGGCACTAAAGATAAACGAGCTAAGACTACGCAAAAGTTTTGTATTAAAAAACGTTCTCCTAAGCAAATTTTGGGATCTGTCAGACATATGCCTGGTGTTAGAGTCGGCAACTTTGAATTTAGTAAGCAAGTTTTAAAGTTGGGCGATTTAAAGGGCAATCGGTTTCGTATAGCTTTAAGGCATTTAAAAGGCGAACCCGCAATGATTGAAAATGCCCTGAAGAATATTAAAGACAAAGGGTTTATTAACTATTTCGGCTTGCAGCGTTTCGGTAATTGCGCATCTGTACCTACATTTGAAGTCGGCGTGGCTTTATTGAAATCTGATTATAAACTGGTAATGAACATAACGCATATAGCAAATTTTAACTGAAGATTTGAAAAAATTTTAAAAATTCTCCATTATAAGGCTTGTGAGTTGATTTTAAAGCCGAGAGAGAACGATTTGCCTTTTCTAAAATCGATACGGGAAACCTGGTGGAAAAATCGTGATTCAAAAGCCGCTTCCTCGATGTTTCGCAATGATAAACTTATAGAAAAAAAGCTATTGGATGGTTTAGCACAATATGGTGAAAATGATTACTCGTCAGCTCTAAGGAAGGTACGAATGAATAAAATCTGAATGTCCAAAAAAAAAAAAAAATAAATAAATAAAATGGGTTTAAACAATTGTAGTTACCACGAAATATGTTACTTCTGTATCCACACGCTTTTCAAAGTTTGGTATTCAACACCATGGCCTCTAGGCGCATCAGGGAATTTGGCCTACAGTTGATAATTGGCGATTTGGTCTATCGTAATAAGGATGAGCCTAACATCGACTTAGACGATCTTCATCTAGAAGAATTGGAAGAAGATGATAATTCTGTTGAAGAACTGAAATCTTCCGCGCCAGTGGAAGAAAAAGAATCCGTGTTTAAACGTAAAGTGAAGCCTCTAACCGAAAGTGATATACAAAGTGAAAATTATACAATTTACGATGTTGTTTTGCCTTTGCCCGGATACGATGTCACTTATCCCGATAATATTGTCAATTCATGGTACGAGGAATTTTTAGAAAAGTACGGACTTAGTTCACAAAGCTTAAAACATAATGTTAAAACGTATTCTATGCCTGGGGCTTATCGCAAATTGCTTCTAAAGCCAGCGGATATGTCATGGGAATTTCGTCGTTATTCAACGCCTCAAGAGACATTGATCGCTTCTGATTGGGAAATTTTAATGGATAGAGAACAAGCAAAGAAAATAAATACTACAGAGACAAATAATGCTGAGCACAGTGCTCTATTACTAGACTTTTGTTTACCTTCTTCGGCCTATGCGACAATGATGCTAAGAGAGTTAATGAAATGTGATACATCTGCATCTGGTCAAACGATTTTAGAAGAAACGGCTTTAAAAAAGGCATTTGATAAGGACGCGAAAGAGTTGAAGAAAAGGAAAACCGAGGATATTACCGAAGCGACTGATGCAAGTCAAATAAAGCAAGCGAAAGTTGAAAACGATGCGAAAGACGATGAAGTTTCAGAGCTTGTTAACGAAGCACAAGTCACTAATAAGATATAGCCATTATGCGTAATGAGAAAAACCATCAAATATTTTTTTATCGAATAAAACTGAGACGTCCAAGAAATCAATGTAAAAATATAGTCAGTTCAGTATATACACATGTTCACTTATTATTAAACTTTTATTTCTCAATAGGCCAAACAGATAGAGAAAACGAATGCATAAAATGTTTGTTTAGTCAAAAATGAGATACACTTGAACAAATATTGTATCTGCCTCAGCCTAATATTAATATGAGCTATCTTGTTCTAGCTAGCACTCGATATATGTCGTATATAATCTGTCTATTTTACAACAAAATTGATCTCCTGAACGCAAGCTGCAAGCTTGTACAATTGCGATCTTAAAGTAAGGACGAAAGACACTCCAATTAATTTATATCAATTTATGATGCTAAAGTATATATACATGGGTTCTATATATCTATAGGCGTTATAACCATCTGGCAAATTTACTTATACACGCTTTTGTGGTGGGTATAGGAAGTAAGTATTTTAATATAAGTTAATATACTCTGTAAGCAGTGAATAAGATAACATTGCAAGAGAAACACAGAGAAAACTAATAGAAAACGTTCTGTTGCAAGAGCGCAAACATAGAATTTGTAAAGCAAATTGAGAGAGTATATAAACATAGTTAATAGAGGGAGAGAAAATCTCGAAATTGTTGTTATTCTTGTATTAAAACAACAAACCCAAAGGAGCGAGACAATTCTAACTCTCAAACATTTTCACATAAACTATCGAACTAAACACTACAACGAAAACATAACAGACAGAATATTCCCCACAAAAAAAAAGAAAAAAAAAAAGAAAGATTAATCATAAATATATTTTGTTAAAGGTGTAGAAAGAGAAATTGCAGTGATACTTAAAATTCAAAGGTAATAGCTTAGTATAATCAAAAAAAAAAAAATAAAAATAAATAAATAAGTAAATAAAAATTAAGCAGATTTGTAGTTAAAAATTAAAGAAAAAAACTGGCGCAATATATAAAAAAAAAAAAAAATAAAATTTATAAAAAATCTCACAAGTTCGTTATAAAACATTTCATCTTTCAGTGATAACTCGCATCTACAATATTATGCGAACAGTTAGTTATATTTGGTGGTTTTCTTTTTTCAAACAATTATTGATTTTGTTTTTTAAATCAATCGATAAATTTGTGTTAATGTCTCGTACTTGTGCTGTCGCTTTTTATGTAGTTGAGCAAGTTCGTTTGATTTGAATGGGTACTCTATGTGGCGCGTTTAAAGTGTGAGCAACACATGCATATATACAAAACACTTCAGAAAGGAGTTGTGCGTGCCTCTGTTTTTTTCTCTCGCTTTGTCGTTGCATCGCTAGCCAGTCAGTCAATCCATCGACTTCTTCAAACTTCTCGCAGCAGTAAACTCAAAAAATCAATAACAATTTTGCTACATTCGATTAAAATAGGAAGTAAACAAATCGTTATATTACTGCATGCATATTGTGCGCGTTATATGAACAAGTGGTGTTAGCCTTAATCACGAAAGCTTGATATTTTTCGAAAAAAAAAAATCCTTAATGCCTTTACAATCGTCATTACATATATATATTATCAATTTCTTCGTTATTTAAGGTTCTCAGTTGGCATTTACAGAGATATGCAATTATATGATTTTCAGCTTTTTGTCGATTTTCTATTCCAAGACCTTCTAGCAAAGCTTCTATTCGTTTCAAAGTAGCATTATGCTGATTATTATTAACAGGAGCAGAATTCGATTGACTGATAGATTGTTCATCCATAGTTTCTTGAAGCTCATCATCGTCACAAATTGTTTCGATTACTTGTTGTTCGGCATCCATAGGAAATATTTGCCGTTCATTGTTTTTGAACTGATTTTCCTTTCTTTTTGTTTAAAATTTTTAAAACTACCACGTCAATATTTATTTATCAGACATCGATTTAGATAACTTACCTTACTTTGTATCTATGGGATTTTTGCAAAAAACTTATAACACCGGTCTGTTTACCGAGTTTTTGTTTCTGTGGTTGATTTTTTGCTTGCAGATATTTCCATCTTAATATGCAGTACTTGGCTAAGTATAAATTTTAAACATAAAACGGTTACAAAACACTTGTCCCGTAAATATTAAAATTTACTTTCACATCCCAGGGACGTTGCTATATGACGCCATAGTTCCAATTTCTTTCTTTCACCTGCATAAGGATTGCTGCGCAATTCCTTTGTATATAAAATTCGATTAGCTTTAATCAAATTTATTAATTTGCTGTCGAAGTCGTTACTCATCCTGAATTACTTTATTGCAAAAGAATAATATAAAATATACACAATAATTGTACATACAACGTTGTGAAATTCCCCTAATAGCACATCAAAATATATTATTTTTGGCATATAAAAAGAAACTCAAGAAGTTGCCAGATTATCACGACGATTTAAAATGAAGAATTTACGGATAGAATTCATCTTTTTATACCCTACACTACTTGCGGTACAGGATATATTAATGTAATGTGGATGTATCTATCCATCACGCAGAAGGGCTTATTTTTACCCATCTTTTATTTTACTGATCGATTCCGAATCGTAATCTGAATTGTTTTAACTTTGACTGTTTTACATGAGGCGATGAATATGAACACGCAATAGTAATATCATACAAAAATAAGAATCGTGTTAGATAATGTGGTGTAGGGTATTTAATTGTCGACCTTGCCAGACTACTACGTCTGCTTTATTATTATTTTAAGGAAAATCATTGCCGGTTTATTTAAGGTGTCCTGAGGTGTACGGCATATCTAAAAAAGCATTATTTTAAGAATTGAAAGCAGTTATTTTTGAAAAGAGACAATTGCAGAAAATTCCATAATTCTTTTTTTTTTTAATTTATATCTTTTTATTTGAACCGAAAACGATTTAAATGGAAAAAGCAAGAATAACATCTCACTTGAAAATAGCGGCTACGTTGCACTGTATGGATTTGAAGAATTGATTTAACAAAAACTTTTGTATTTCTTTCTTACGAATTCATTCTAAAATAGAATACGAACAAAGGCATTACCAGCTTTAATTCAATCGCTGTAAATTTAAGATTGAAGAGATGATTTTATACATTGTAATGCCTTTCATTTTGTTGCAGGATAATAAAATATATAAATGTTTTGAACAATGACAGCTGAAAGCTATCATCTTAAATGGGATTCTCATCACTCATATTTAAATTCGTCAGTAGCCACTTTATACAAGTAAATATTTATGATATATTCGCTGTTTCTGTTACGATATTTATAATATGGTTTTGCATAGAAACGAAAAATATGCTGATGTGGTTTTATACAGTTCCAGCAATTCCAGTAATAACGGATCATCATCTAATAATAATACTAGCTTACCAACGGTGGGCATATCAGCCCACAAATTTATCTTAAGTTCTTGCAGTCAAGTAAGTGCGATCCTGTTCGTGTACTCTTTTTAAGCAATAATTCTATTGAAAATTTTAGTTTTTTTCCACAATATTTGAAACCTCGCCTATAGCTAATAATGGTGTGTTTTATATTGTGCTGCCACCAGAGTTGAGCCACAGGGCTATACAAATTTTAGTACAGTACATGTACGTTGGCGAAGCCACTGTTTCCAATGATATTTTAAATGAAGTATTGAGAGGCGGAGAAATTTTGAAGATCCGGGGCTTATGTCGCAATGCATCGACGGGTTCATCAGGTATGCCTCGTTCAGACCAATCATCCATTAATTGTAGTGCACCATATAATAACGGCCAGTCGAGATTACCTTTAAATGGAGGCACCACTTCGGTGCGCTATTTAGTAGAACAACAACAGCAACAGCATTTGCGTGGCTTGGGTGCATCAGTAATGCCTAAGGATAGTCCAGTTATCATTAAGTCTCCAAAGCCTTTAGGTTTGTTAACGTCTTCAACAGGTGGTACAAAGCCTTCGAGTAATATTGGACCTGGGGGTGGTGGTATTACAGTTAACAAAGAAGTTGCCATTGATCCTGAAGACAAATGTTGTTTTCCTACGGAACCTATGGCAACAGCACCTTTATTACAAGAAAGTTCTTCCATATGCAACGAAATTGGTTGTAGCAATTGCTCCTTAGCAACAGAAAATGCTCCAGTACCAAATCAGCTAACGCAACAACAACAACCCATGCTTCTAAGAAGGGAGCGTAGTCAAAGTGATGACCCATCGGTAATGAATTGTTCCGGAAATTACTTAGACCATATATCAAGACCCTATCATGAACGCGATGATAGCAATAGAGAATATATAACAGAAGAACTGCGAAGATCCAGCATAACATCAGAACGTTCTGAAAATCTGCATGATTACTCTTTAACAGAAAATTATAAAAATTATCCAAATCCCAAGGATACATCACGCACAACATCACCTCTAGGCAGTGCAGGCAACTTTGTAGCCATCAAACAAGAACCCACAGATTGGTTGGCAACATCCAATGCGAACAATGTCAATCAAGTAACATCGTCTCTATTGCAGCAAAAAGCTTTAGATTTTAAATTGAATACCATTAAAACGGAGGCTTCCAATTCCTGCTCTCATAGCACTAACGAAGAGGACAATCGATCTCTTTTACCACCGCCGCCGGCACCGCCGCCACAATCACAACCTATTTCCAACAATTATGAACGCTATCTAACATGTGACATATGCAATAAAACATACGACGACAAGTCGAGCCTGACGAGACATTTAGATACACACACGGCCACATCCTGCTCTTCGGGATTTGTTGGCTCAAGCAGTCAACAGCCACTTTCCAATAGCGATACAAAGTCCTATGTGCCAAAGAAGCGTCGCAGAATATCGGTAGGATGATGTATAAAGCCAATTATTTATGTATTAGTTCAAATATATTTTTGTTACTGAATTTCTTTAAAAAAAAATTTAGCAGCAGGAAAATAATGGCGATCATGTCAGCTTGCAATGCGATTTATGCAACACGTAAGTTCCTCGATATTCTTGCCTATCGTAGAATGTAATGAAAGCGAAAAAGAAAATTCATTTTAGTCCCTTTGAAACTGCAGCGGAGTGGGTCCGCCACATGAATTGCCAACACACAGAAATCGAACTGGCCATATTTAACAGCAAAAAGGATAAAGAACAAAAGCAGTAAGTTACACGTGTAAAATAATATATGAGACAAATATAGTAAATAATTTCATTATTTTACAGAATAAACGGCAACTCGTCATCTACTTCAGGAGCAGCGATAACAACAACAACAACTACAACAACAACGGCAGCAACAATAACAACCGCAACGATGAACAATAATCTAAAGAAATTGAGTAGCAATCGCCAACAACAACGAACACAAATGCGTAACGCCAGCAACAGTATTATGAATACAAATTTAAACCTATCAAATACTTCTGTCTTATGCTCATCGTCGTCACCACCACCATCTAGTGGTAGCGTAAATACTTGACATTTTTTCGTTGTGGTGGTTAATAATATGAATTTTATAATCGGGGAAAAGCAAACAGGATCGATTTAAAGTATGTTCGTCGCCAGGTACGAATTTACGCATCTTGCACACAACATGAAAAGGCTGTCTATTAAGGATTATACTATTCCTTTTACCGCTTCCTTTACTATTCAATCCAGGAAGTGTTTGTGTTACAGACCGAGAAAACCTGTATTTGTGTTAGTGTTTATTTGGTTTAAAAAAATATACTAGTGTTTCCTTTTTCACTTTATTTGGAGACTCTGTCATTGTTAGTAGTTTCATATGACGTCTGCAATTCATCAAGAGTAGCAGGGCATTATCTACTTTAAAGAAACATGTGACTCAAGGTACATTTTTCTTTGCCATCTGTAATAACGTTTTCTTCGAAGTAAAATAATTTGGCGCGCGCTTTTAATTCGCTTTTGTCCTTTTGAAAGTTGATCTAGAGAATAAAATATCAAAAAAAAAAAAAAAAAAAGATCTCGCATTATTAACCACCATGCTTGTCATTTATTTATGAAGTAACGATTTTAGTGTGATTTTTTTTACTTACAGATTATTTACGTTCTACATTATCGCCTGCTTGATGTGATGACGTACGTCGTTAAGATTACTTTCAGAACAATTAAAAAAATTCTAATCAAAAACGGAATTGCAGAAGAAAGCAAACAAAAAATATGAAAATCGTTTAACGAATTTTAAAATTATTGTCCTCTTTTGTAAGAAAACAAAAGCTCCATAATCTTTAGACTTAAATATCTATATGCAACAAATCTACTGACATATTTATAATAATTAATAATAATTCATAAAAAGTGCGTCCTCCTTTAAATATCTTAGGATTTTAAATGTCGTGTAAGCAAATTCTATTTAATACATATGCTAACTCAGTTACATACATTGATTTTAATCAGAAAAGGTAAAAGAAAAAAAAAAAAACATTTAATGTAAATAAAAGCGTGTGTCTTCTTTTCCTCAAAAGTATAATAATCATAATTTCTTTTTTCTTATAGTTTAAGGCGATGTACGTATTTTTTATTAAGATTTATAAATGAAATATTAGTAAAATTTTATAAAAAACGGTATATATATAACTATAAGGTTTATATATACATATATATATACATGTATATATATAAAAAGTAATAGGGTCCAAAGTCAAACATAAAGTGTACAACAGTTAAATTTGTAATCTAAACGAGATTACGTTAAATGCTGCTGGGCTGATAAAAATAGGACTATTTGGCATGTTTTTTTTCTTATTCTTACTTTTTTTTGTTTCTTAGCATGTACGTTGGCGTTTGCTGGGATTTCTGTAAAAAATATTATTTCGGAAAAAAAGAAATTAAAAACTCGTAACTAGAATTTCTTATATTTATTTGTTGAATATTTTATGGTGTGGGTTAATTTTATGCAAGCCGTTGTCTTTTATATAATTCGGGTTACATGTGTATATATATGTATATGTATTTAAATATAGCTTACACAAGCATATTGTAGTTTGGGTTGCCTTCGCGACGTGTCTTCATAAATTTAGCATGAGTTTCACCATCTAAATAGAAGCATTTAACTGCTTCGTCCTCAATCATTAAATCCCGCCATTTTAACTAGAAACGCATGATATCTATTAATCATTTATACAGTACATATAAATTGCTTTCTACTTACCAAATTATTAAAGCGCTTTTTATCCATTTCGTATTTATTACCCAGTAAATATTTCAGCATTTCCGAACGTTCACACCAAGGCCAAATCATGTAATCCAACATGCCAGGCTTATCGCCACCAAAGTAGGCGCTGCCACGTTTTTGAAGTTCATCCTCGAAAATATCCAAACCAGTGGATACATTAGTTATAGCCCCAGGTACAACTTCGGGGCTAACAAACATCTTATACATTGCTCCAATTACAGGATTAAAACGTTCTATTAGAATTTTATCCTGGGCTTTCCTTAAAGAATCTTTTGGAAATAAACGATTTTCCGGGTATTTTTCATCCAAATATTCGGATATAATCAACGATTCAACTAAAGCAGGCTGACCAGTTTCCTTTACCAATTGTAGGGCCGGCACTTTGCCCAGAGGATTTAAATCAGTTAACCATTCTGGCTTATCGCTCACATCAATAAAAATGGTGTGATATGGTATCTTTTTAGCGTCTAGTACTAAATGAACGCGATGAGAATAAGGGCAGAAACGCATTGAATACAAACGCAGCATGCCATCATCGGGTAATTCTGGTATTGTAGAACCTTAAACGCGCACATAAATAATAATTTTTCATTTAAGTGTTAGGCTTTCTTAAATTTGTGGGAATATCTTATATTAGTTTGGTCAAATTGCAACACATTTAGAATATTTGGTAAGTTATAGAAACCGGTTTTAGAATGCTGCGTTACAATTAAACTGAAATGAATACATCATCGACTATGCGAATTTAACCGCAATTCTAACCATTAGTTATAAGTGGACCGCAAAAAACTTTTAATACAATAGGGGAAAATAGTTTAATCAACTTTTATAATTGTAACAGCAGGAAAATAATAGTACAGGCAGTGGTTGTTAACTTAGTTCTAACGTTTCTGTTACGTCATCACCTGTTACGGGACCTGGAGATATTGGGTAATTACTTATTCGAGCATAGATTGTAGGGATTTAAAAAAATTGCTCCGCTTGTATCTACGCTGATGGAAAACTTTTATTATTTTAAGCATGATATTAAAAACTAAACTAGAAAGTTATTTTGCCTCATTGTATAAAGTTAGGTGGAAATTTTTTGGAACAAAAATCATTTAGGAATGTAATCATAGTTGTACTTAATTAAATAAATAAGAAGAGGCCTTGCCCCCCCTTGAAAATAAACTAAGCTATACTAAACACCATTGCGTTGGAACATACCAACAGGAAGTTTTATGAAAGTGAAGACTTTGAATCCATTAAGGAAAAGTGTTACAAAATTTCACTTCATTGTTACTAGTTAAGCGTCATAGGATTTTTTAAAGATGAAATGAAGGAAATGATATCAATTTTGTTTGGACTATAGCACCTTTGCTACATACATTATACACATATAAAACGTGTACATTTATGTATATAAATTTCCTTTTTCATAAAAATTTCTTATTGCCTCAATGATTCTAAAAGTTCTGGGAATTTTTGTTCTGCAATAAGTGTGACAAGCTCTGTTACCTTTAATCATACATTGCAGACAAAATGATAATCACCTTAGTTAAGTAATGACAGTGCACTCTCAGCGTATTGCCCTTAAAGTCAACAGAAAAAAAAAAGAAAGAAGCATGGAATACAAACGCAACACAATGCCGTCATTTAAGTCCGTACACCAAAATCTTACACATCTAGTTATTTTTGGAAAATGTATTCAATGGTTATGACTAATTTTCTGTACATTCCGGTTTAATTTTACACTTTTTTTGTGAATTCATGCTGGCTGGGAAAACCGGTTGTGAGACATAATAGAAATTTTTCCATTGGAATCATTTGACATACCTTTATTTAAATGTTTCCCAGCACTCATCTTAAATATAAAAACGTTTCCAAATGCTTTTCTTATTATTCCTTTGGATATATCTCTCCAATTGATTGCAATTTTTCTTGGGCACAAAGCGCACACAAACAAACACTTATGATGAATATTGATTTACTTGGAAGAAATATTCAAACATGTTATTAAAAGTAAAGACAATAATAAAGTGCAAGCTTACGATAACGCTAGCGAGCTATCGAAGACAATAACGATACATTTTTTTTTGATAGCAACCGTGTACCTTAACATGAAAACTTTTGTTCTATGGGTGTATTGGCAACTCTGGTCGCGATATTATTTGTAAACTAGACGAGACTGACCAGTGCGATTAGAAAATTTTTTCGTGAAATTTCAAGTTCAAGGTGAAAGGGTAGGAAAAAAAGTTTGCAAAACTATAGATTTCCGACTTTTCTTACGAAATACCTTTTACATCTTAATTGTTTTGTTTGTGAAACAAAAGACGAGAAAAGTAGAAAATAAGAAAGCTATAATATATGTATTGTACATGTACTCTCATTTTCATCTTAGATTGGAGGCTAGATACTTCTATGAAAAATAGTTCTTTTTTTTTTTTTGGATGAACGCAGAGATAATCCGTTTTGAGTTATATTACATTTAATGACATATTGAGTGTTTTTAAAAATTACGATAATTATTGGCGCAGTTAGTCTTCGGGTTCTTATAGTCAAATTTCTATTATATATATATGTCTGATATATGTCTTATTTAACATATGTATATATGTATATATGTTACGGACGAGTAAGTTTTAAGATGAATGGTATAAGAACGAAATCAAAACTTTATTTGATGCGAATAGATTTAGTTATTAGGAAGAAAGTTGGTATATGAGTTAACTTAACTAAAATTTGAACTAAATAAAATTACGTTTCATTTAAAGCAACTATGAGGCGACAGCTGGCTACTTTTAGCTTTTGAGTGATCGAACTTCCGGCTAGTGAAAGACAATGTCAAAACATTCAATTTATGATTTCATAAACATGTGTTGCAAGAGAAATTTAAATTATATCAATCCAAAGTTTGATGTATTTATTACTCATATTGATTATTTTCGTGAACATAGCTAGTTTTATGTATGGCACTACAAATTTTTATCAGCCTATGCTTTAATGGTTGTTTTTGTTGTTGACATATTTCCTAATGGCCCACATGAATTCATGTTATAACATGATTGTGTGAATATACCTATGTTTAACAAATGCTTCACGTATTACACGTTCAACTGTCCTTTTTTTTTTTGAGTTATTTATGTATCTATTCAAAATTTAACATCAGGAGCGAATCGAATTTACTGAAGGTCAGTTAAGGACGAATTTTGGGGCCTTCTTTGTATGGCAATTTCTTTTAAGCAAAACGTAATTGATGATCAGCTAAGAAGTTTGCATAGCTATTTAAGAAGTTCATACTTTGTAAGCGAAGCAACTGAGAACTGCGCGTTCATCGCGAGTCATTGGTAGCCAATAGAATGAACCATTTTATCAAACACTGTCGAATTTTGAATAGATTAAAGATTAAATACTAATCGATAAAGAGCATTTCAATTTGGGAACACAGAACAGGATATTTTCAGATATTCCTCCAAGCGAAATGAATGTAAATTCTATTCCATTCAAATTCAAAACTCTTTTTAAAGAAAATGTATTTATTTAATTAAAATGATATTGTTTCTTTGCTAAATATATGGTTTGTAAAATTTCTCCGATTTGATTTGCAATATATGTTTAAAAAGTTATCAATGAACGATACGCATTCATAGTTATTTAGAAAATGTTTATCGAAAACGCTTGAGATTTAAATTTGAATTGAACATGAGCCCTGTTATGGATAACGCGAAGCACTTTTTGCGCAGGTCATGTTATTAACCCCGGCTTTCGTTTAAGATGTGATAAGGGGGAAAAGAAAACTGTATGCATTAAGAAATGGTTCGTTGCTTGTGATTTAATGTAAAGCAACGCCGGTTACTTATAAAAGCGGCCGGTTGTCAACAAATTTCTTTAAATACTGTACAATGTTTTGTTATAGACAGCAAGAAAAAGAGAAAAAAAGGAAGAAGAAAATATTTTTTTATACAGTGTAATAATTATCATATGTTATGCATATTTATTTGTAACCTTTGTAAACTGTAGTGAATCAACATGTCAGCACATTTATATATATATATATATAAATATGATTGTTTATTTCATAAAATTTATTTTATATTATTAATCGGTTAAGCACGAAAGTCGCATTCATTTAACTTTATTGAATTCATTTAGAGACGTGCGAGGATGTACGAGAGCCCGGGTAATGCGGTTGAATACTTTGAACCAAAGTTAAGTTTATGTTAAATTTAATTATGTGAGCATGAGAAAAACAATTTTTCCGCGAACAATTAGTTGGGAAAATCTTTTAACAATTACAAAGACATCATCTTATCCATAATGTTGTGCTGCTCATACGCATTGTGATTTGTTTAGTTAGCACAAGGTCGTCACACATTAATTTCATACTTAGTATGTTGCACTTTACATATTAACATAATGTTGAGAGTAAATCTTATTACATTATGATTATATGATAAATGTAATTTGTTTATGTAATTTTTTTCTTCTCTTTTTTAATTTTCTTTAATCTCATCTTTTCAAATAAATTAACATAACGAAATATTTGCAAAAGGCAACTTCGACGTAAAAATCGTTTATAAGGAATCACACACGAGTGTATTATATATATATTATATTGCATGTTAAGGTTTCATCCTCTATATGCAAAATATCAAATGAAAAATTCTTATAATATTAGTCAAAGGATATGCCGTATACTCTTTTGTGTGTGTGAGGAGAATGTATCTATAGAAAGGCAGAGGTATTAGCTCGACACCGTTTCAATTTGTTTGAGCAGGCAGATGAAGCGGCAACATGCATTCGATTTGGCGATCAGCAGTCATTCAGTTCTAAGTGAAAAATATTCTCAATTGACATCGTGAGAGGAATATTCTAATCAAAGCCCTTGAGACATTTAATAACTCATTTCGATTTTCATAGCGTTCTTATAAGACATGATCAACGGCTAACAAAATGGATAAAGATTGTCAACTTTCAAAAGTGATTCATATATAGAAATTCGATTAGGTTTTGCATTCAACTCTTTTTCTTCAATTATCTCTCTCTCTCTATTTGGTGATAACTGCTCTGGTTCTTGATCTTGAAAAAAATTACTTCTAATCTGAACTAATGATATACTTTTGCATGATTACTCAGTGTAAGTAGACCAACTTTTTGCCCTTTCAAGTTATGATTACATACATTGCTTACTGCATATATATGGCCTTGATATTATGAAAAAGGCTTGCGTAGTATTTCTTGATACATTTTTCAAATGTAGTGCAATTTGATGATTACGCAAAAGAAACGCTTACACCTGAGTATAAGTATTGCAATAAACGCCGGTAAACCGCTACGATTCATATACCCATGACGTTTGAGGTATCAATCGTATTTGAAATGCTTTTTTAAGGAGTCCAATCTTTTCTTGCTTTCATAATTTTATAATTCTTTTTTATTTATAATCTAAGATATGCTTGGAATTTATTTATTGTTTGAAGAAGATAATTTTCCAAAGCGAAGTAAAAAATATTATCTTTACTTATTTCTTTTATTTCTTTCATAGTTATTTTTTCTTCTCTTTTCATAATACTTTTCGAACAATCAAAATATTTTTGTCTTATTTATTTGTAACAATTGCTGTTGCATTTTATTAATATTGGTTACGATTTCTTATATACATATATATACATCTAATTTTCTTTTTACACGAATTGTTTTATGTTAACACGATTTTCAATAATATATGAATTTTTTTAATGATTCTTTTTAATGAATATTTTTTTTAATGTTTTATGAATTTTTTCATTCTTACTTCTCCCAAATATGAATTGTGAGTTCCCGTTAGTTAGACTGTGTCGATTACATCCCGTATATGAGTGGGATTACCCAAAATGACGCATGAAATAAAGATGTAATGTTTTTTTTTAAACAATTATGGTTTAGTTTTCAAAGTACAATTTATTTTTATACCCTATACCACTTGTAGTACTGGCCTATTTTTTCGATCCTGCCCTAATAAGGATTTTCATGAAAATTAACCCTTTATAAGGTAGAAAAGTCTAAGCTTTAATATGTGGTGAAGTTTTAATAAAATGAACTCCACAAAATTTGGACCATCTGCGCCTATTTTTGAGTCTTGCCCTAGATTGCGTTTGGGTCCGCTCTCCCATAAATATGCGCTTGAAAAATTTGTCTTTATATAGAAACAAGATATAATTTTTATGTTCTAGAATAAAAAAATATGAATTGCATTAGACAATGTGGTGTAATGGTCGGCCTTGCCCGACTATAATATTCTTACTTATTTATAATACTTTGATTTTAATGAATTAATTTAATGTCCAGGCATGAAATAAACTCTTAAATGAATTCTAAGAAGAATTTTTTATATCTATCATCGGGGGATGATGCACGCTCCAGAACGTAGCATCAGAGGCCGCCAAAAGTATATGCACTCTTGATCAGGATCAAATTTTAAATCGATACAAGCATATCCATCGGTCCATCTGTCCGTCTGTCCAAATGTATAGTGTCTATGTTGAACGTTCTCCCGTTCACAAAAATGAAGATATCGTTTACAAATTGGTAAAAGCGTTTGAAAGGGATCTAAACTTTTCAAAGAACACGCCTACAACACCCACGCGTGAATGCGACAAAGACTTTTATTTAAAAAAATACGAAAAATTATGAAATTTTAGTTTTTTTACTTTTTTAGTCTTTTTTAAGATAAAAGTGATCGGTATAAACGATATTCGGTCACGATCGAATATAATTTTCTTATTTGTTTAACTATTGTTTATTGTAGCTTTCAGTTGGTTTTTTATGGGCCTGGAATCAATTTGCGAGTTTTCCATTTTTTTACACCAGTTATTTGGGAACGTA